GAGAATTAACACACAGCACTGTTCCCCAAGTCCCTCGGAACGTGCAGCCATCTGAAATAAAGGGGGAGATGGCTTTTGTCAGGAGCTAAGGAAACCCTCTCAACACTTACATAAGAAACTGTCTCTCTCTCTCTCTCTAGCATAGAGAACACACACCACATAAGTGCATGAGCCGCATGCCTGTGAATATTTTAACAACAACAATGAAACACACCACCTAGACAGAAACCTATTTTTTTGTAAGAAACGGCCCAGGGATGTTCAGACACATTCAGTGGCGATTCCATTGGTGAGCGCCCCATGCATCATGCAGAACTGCATTAGCTGGTGGCTGCAGTAAGTCACAGCGGATACCTGCCTGCACCTTGGCCGGGGGGCCGTGTCGGACGAACACTCATAAAGGGTTCTGGTTTGCCGGTGGCTCAAAAAGCGGACCGTACATCACACATGCAGCTTCTTTTGAAGGAGATTCCCGCAGTCTGTCAACTTAAAAAATAAAAGCCCTGGGCAAGACAAAATGCCGCACCATCGCAGTGTGGCTGAGCAAGATATCGCTGGCCGCTGCTCTTTCATCCCCGCCAAATAATGAAGCCGTCAATGCATGACTCAGAAATCCCTGACAGATGAATTCAGAATACCCTGGGAGTGCACGTGAAGTGTGCGTCAGAGTGAAGAGGGTGTATCATAGGCCCTGGACAGAGGGAGGCAGATATAAAGTGTGTATATGCGTGTGTGTCTGTGTGTGTGCGTGTGTGTGGTCAAATTAACAGCTGAGCACTGGTGTATGGAAAAAAAAACAACAGAAATTGTTGTACTTTTTCCAACACTGCACTACTGCCTGCCCCAACTAGCCGCTGCTGACTCATGCGTTCATAATAAATAGATGGCATTGCATAATATGATTATGACCAGGCAGAGATGGGTTAGACCAATCATACCAATCATATTAATCACATGAGCCCACGATCATCGTTCCTCTTGAAACTCTTGATCCGCGCGAAGCACCTTAATAAAACGGGCCCCCGCTCTGACAAGTTGACAGCGGAGCTTCGGGCGCATTCGTAACGCACAGGGAACAGTCCTCTCACCTGCATGTGGACTAACAAAGACGCAAAGACTGCCGTTGCTAAGTGCTGGTTGTGAAGAGAGGAGAGAGGAGGTGGGAGGAGAGGAGAGGAGAGGAGGGGAGGCTAGAAGAGAGGAGACAAGAGGGCAGTGACTAGGGGGAGAAACCCATGTAAATGAAAGGGAGAAGAGAGGCGTCAGCATTAGCAGCTAATCCACTGCAGCGAGAACGCTCTCTCTCTGCCTGCGGCCTCCGGTAGTCCTCCTGACAGGACAGCTGTAACACACACACACACACACTGTACACACATCTGTATTACTAACAACAGATCCAATCCTGCCCTGAGATCCATACCATGTAAACAATGCTTGACTTACCAGAAGCCAGAGAGTGTCACACAGATCTGATGTTGAAGCATCATCCATTCGTGTCACATGTCATATCGTTTTTGTAAAATATTGATGCAGCATGTACAGTATACATGCTACCTCCATGCTCAAGACGCAGTCATGAATCCCAGTACTTGAGGGAAATGAACTCCCCCTCGCCATTCCCACACACACACACACACACACACACACACACACACACACAAGACATTTCCAGTGTTGTGAGTCCACGTTCCCTTCCCCAGGGGAGGGCCATGACACAAAAGTGCACACACGAAGGGGAGCATCTCTCTTCCGCGCTCTGTTTCTCTCCCACCCCTTCTTCTCTCTCACCCACACACTTTCTCTATTTAGCTCACACTAAGAGGCTGCCTAAAGATAGAAGCAAGGAGATGAACAACAGCCAGAGAGTGTCATGGCAACAACGTGCAGTGGCTCCCCAACACCGTTTAGACCAGAGAAAAGAAGAAAAAAAAGAAGTTGTAATCAAAGCTGTAATCAAAAAAAAATTACACAATTTAGTAAATTTCGACGCATGGACCTGCCAAGGCTTAGAGCGCTGTGCTCAGCATTCAGCAGTTGAGTAGACAGCATCTTCCATAAAAATGGACTTCTGATTGTACTTCAAATGCTACAAATGCTTTAAACTCCATATTTTGTCTTACGATCAAGGGGAAAAACACTGCTTGGCAACATCATGCTCGGGCGCATTTCGCTCAAGGAGAGAAAGCAAATCACAGAATGAAACTTTGCAGGTGGGACTCAGAGCAGAGATTCGACGTAGTGCGATCAAACAACAACGTAAATAGTGTTAAGCGGTTCTGCAGGTGCAGGGGCTGGACGCAGTCCCAGAAATGTTCACCAGCCCGTCAGGATGCTTCAGAGAAACTCCTCTGCGTCTCCTTTCAGCCGAATCCCCCCCACCCCCCCCAACCCTCCCTCGAGGCCACTTGCACATCAAAGCAGCGATTCTCAAATGCCTGGGATTGCCTTCCCGAGCGGTTTTACTCCGACCTAGTGTTTTAAACGGCTGACATGGACGCATTACACTTTTCGTCAGATCCGAAGCGCCAAGTATGTGGAAGCGATTTAGCGCCATTGCGCTCTCTGCGTTGTCTGCATGAGCTCTCGTCAAGATTTAAAAACATCTGATCTGTTGGGTGGCCTATTCAAGATGAGTAATGGCCCAAGAGTACTAGATGACATTAATCCATGTGGCCACCCATCTTCACGGATCAGTGGCCCTAATCATGTGATGAAACATTGACCAGTGCTCTGTCATCTCCATAACACCATTATCGGTGAGAGGTTATTTCTCCCACTCCTGCTCCATGATACATCCGATCGTCTCATTTCCGTCTGCTAATAAATGTGACAAGTGGACAAACCCGGTGTACAGTGTGTTTTTATAAATGACTCAGAAGCCCTTGAAAGCCTGACAAAAAGCAGAGTAAAAGCTAGATTCATCTGTATTGGGGTCAATGACATGACATGCATTTTGCGTCCATTTCTTTCCTTTTAAAATAATCAATTCATGACATAATTTATTCTATAAAGCCTATCCAGTTTGATTACATTTTAAGTAGATTCAAATAATATATATATATATATATATATATATATATATATATATATATATATATATATATATATATATATATATAATTTTATGCTTTGACCCCTCAAACCCTGGAAATGTCAGGTAACACAACCTTTAAAACGATTTAAAAATAAAATTGGATGGCATGCTTTTATTTTTGAAACAAATCAAAAAAAATATTTTTGAGTACCAAAAATTGTAAGCTGGTGAGATAACCCTAAAACCCTAAAGGCTTGGCAATTCACATTTTCTTTTATGTCAGGGTGGCACAACATTGAATATGGGACTTTTACTTTGCAGTAAAGGACAGCGCAGCTAACAGGATACTGCATCACCAAGAGGGCCCCAAGTGACCTTTGGTGCTGAGTGAAAATGTCTTCAGATCTCGCTCCAATATTGATAAAAATAGCTACTATCAACTTCAAGGTACGACAGTACACTTTTTGTGTCAAGCTTTACAACCGTATTAAAAAAGTAATTTTTATTTCAATGTAACCCTCCCAACATTGATGGAGAGAATATTACCAGTTTAGCTCTACAGCAACCCAAGGAAGAAGTCAAATTGAAGAGAGAACGACAAGTAATAAAATGAACAAAATGAAAGCAGAAATGTTAAGCCACCAAAATAAGGATGGAGCAAAAAAAATTCAAAAGGCAAAATGTGAAATGAAGAGAATATAGATTAAGGATTGCAAGCAACCCAGAGAAAAAAGATGAGTTGTTGACTTCTCTTTGGATGAGATCAGTCGGGTTACAGGGACAATAAAACTGAGGCAACCCACCGAGGTGTGTGGTGGTTAAACATTCACTGGGCTCCACTTCTGAAATGCAAAACTCCCACTGGCCGTCTCACCGACAGTGTATCCGATATTGTCCTTTCTCTGTTACACAGCCGAATGTGTCACATAGGAACACATGCGCTTGTTTTATCATGCAAAATGCTGCTCCAACATGGTAGAAATGACAACACCCGGGTTGAAGCGACAGTGATGATCAATGGATAAAAAAAACGTTATGAATTGTTTCAAAGAAGTAAGAAGGAATTTGAAGGAGATTTTGAAGGGCTTTCATTTGAAACGCTACCTCAGAGTAGCCCGATTCTCTGAGTGGAGCCTTGAGGTGGTCTGTTATAAACTTCAAGTCAAATTATGAAATATTCGAACTATGGACCATTTCCGTTTAAATCTAATTTAAAAATAGCGAAACGGCTCTTAACTGTTGAACGTTTTCAGTAGCTCAATGGCCTGGACAAATACCACTGCAGTAGGCTGCACTCAGGGAAAGAGCTTCAAAGAGAAAGCCTAAGAGTTGATGACGTCATCCTACATATGCTGTTTCTATTTAAAAGTAAGACTTTGTTTCTGTTTCATCACTATACATTACACAGTCCGTCGATCTAATCAATGTTTCGCTGAATATGAGTATTCATTATTATATGAGTACCAGTATGATACTATAAAATATTTACTACTAGAGCTTAAAAAGACTTGTTGTATTTGAAATAGAAATAGAAATTATTTTGCATATTTCTTTTGAAATATATCTTCTACTGATATGTGCAGTACAACTGATACATGTCAGTTATAGAATTAAAAAAAAACCTGGTCAAGAAAACGTAATTATCTTAAATTATTTTAATATATAAACTACAACCAGAAAAAAAAAATAGATAATATATATACATATCACAAATAGGCGGTTGCACTACCTAACATTTTTCCGCTTGTGAAGTTAATTTAAAAAACACTATGAAAAGTTAGATAACAACTTTGTTGTTATCTAGCTTCGATTTGTTTAAACACACATGTCTAAAACAGACTAAATCATTTGCATTACATCCATTTAGGATTTATTTAATGTAATTACATTCTTAGACGCCTTATTCGTCACTGACCCCTTCACGCGTGTGTGTGTTTAAGAAGGTATGTGTGTGTGTGGGACTCACAACGTTGACCTGCAGTGGTTCCGAACCAGCTCTCAGCAGCCTCCTCCTCCTGCAGCTACCAGAGCCCGGCCGCAAGCGCACTGAGGACGACTGACCCGCGTCTGAGGTTGGAGTTGGGGGGTGGGGGGGGCAAATAGATGATCAGTTTACACAGAATCATATCAATCCACTGTCTGCATATTGATGGAACGTTTTGTTTTTTGAAAGACGCAAGGGTACCTGACTGAGGAAGGAGCAGCGCCACGACGGTGAGAGTGCTCGGGGGCAGCGGCAGGGAGCGACACCGCAGGAGAGAAGCCTTCAGCGGGGGCTCTAACGGTGACACACCCAGGGGCCGCGACAAGGCCTAGAGGGTACTGGGTGGTTAGGGCATCTCCTATATTCCAGATGTAGCTTCCACACACACACAGTTGCACATACAAAGGTTGACACATCCTCCTGCCTTTCATGTTACATTTCTTTCTTCCTTAGTGCTTTGCCCCTCCCTCCTTTTTTTGCAGTGAATTAAAGTATTTCACATCCAGGAAGTCTATTCTGGTGCATTGGTCAGTGTGCATGCCCTGCAGCAAACCATGAAAGACTATACATCATGCCAACCGGGGCGGTCTCACAGGATAAAAGGGAATGACTCTGAGTTAGGGCAATGAGAGGTAGAGCTTATGGGAGCGATGAGGCAGAAAATTGACGTCAAAAAGAGAGACTAAGGAACAGAGAAAGAGTGTGTGTGTGTGTGTGTGTGTGTGAGGAAAAGAGAGGGTAAGAAAAAGGCGAGGGAGAGGGGGAGGTAAGCTGAGGGAAAGGCAGCATCCAGAAACACTGGCCTCTAAAAATGGGGCAGAGCATGCATGCACCGTTGCAACTGACAACTGAGTGGTGGATAAATACTGGCTTAGTACAAGGCCGGCCCTTTAAAGTAGTTTGTGTTTAATTCAATTTGGCCTTGTTGTATATTGACCAATGAGTACCCTCAAACTTTATTTTTTTAATTTTAACGATGCATTTATGTTAACTGCACATAAATGCATTTACACATTTTCATATCGATATATTCATATATATTTTTGTATTATCTTACACTGTGCTGCAGCTCCGTGGACTGCATCGCCCTAGTAGCGCTGGTTTCTATGACAGAGAAGGGCCTGGCGCGAGCGGCCATCTGTCTCTGCCCCGGGGAGTGTTGCATGGTGGGAGCCGGCCTGCGTCTCCGCCGGCACAGAGAGCCAACCTCGCTGTAGTGGCTGTAGAGACCTCGGTCTGGGTTGGGCCTCCACGGGTCCAGTACGGCTGAAGCCGGGCGAGGGCGTGGGGCCCTGTGAGGCACAGAGGTCTTCTCTGTGCTCGGGTCGGGCCCGGCCGGACCCGGCTGTCTGACGCCGCAGCCTGTCTGGCTGGCAATCTGCTCGCACAGCTGTGATTGGCACAGATACTCAGCAATTTGGCCCAGAAAAAAGGTGCACACACTGCATTTCTTGTGTTGGAAATTGGGAGGAACGTCTCGATAGATTCAGTAAAATATACCTCATTTCATATCAAAACATGCTACTAAGCTAATTGCTATGCATTAGTGCCTAGTGCCAGGAAAAGCCCCGGAACGGCATTTAAATGTGAGAGAAGAAAAACATGAGGATTTTTCTGGTGCCGTCACTTCTGCTAAACCATTGTAGGCCTGCACATTAACACCCTTCGCAAAACCCCAGATCCCTGCAGGCCCTTGCATAATAAACCCCCGATGAAAGTGTGCTGAGTATTGAGATGTCACATCTCATTTTGTCATCAGGAGTTAGGGCTAACATGTCCTGACTCGTTGGTGTGACTAGAAGGGGGATGACTAATGCCTCCACTGGAGTGAGGAGGGAGGGTGACGCCATGAGGCGCTCGCGTCACCGAGCTCTGGGGGACGCTGCAGTCACAGCAGTGGGAAACAGGGTCTTCTTTGCAGGCCACACAAGGCCGGCTGAGCGGGAAGAGCACAAACTAATACGGTGTCTTCCACCATTGTGATTAGTGACTGTTTCCTCCTCTCTCCAAGAGATGGTGCAAAAGGTCAACTGAAGAGCGGCTGCTCAATTCATGTCCTCACAGGCTGGTGTTTCTCCCTGACAGTTAATGAACCACACCTAGGAACTTCTATCATGAGGAAATGAGCAACAGCTCCGGTGCTATTTGCAGTCTAGTTTGTTGTTGGTGGTTTTGAGAAGCAAATGAATGGAAATGTTTGAAACAGTTACATGTATTACATGTTGCAAGCCTTTTGCGATGTTAATGATGTGAATAAAGCCTGTAATGGAATGATGTTATGGCATGAATGTGAGACGCAGTACACGTGAAAATGCTCTTCAGCAATGCAAACTTCGGACTTCATTAACAAATGCATGTATTCATCACCATTGTTAACCTTGTATTTTAAATTCACATACCTTGAATATTTCCTCTGTGGAATCTGATGCGGGTACGCTATTAGTCGTGCTCCCTTCGTCACCTTGTTGTGATTGGACATTCACTTCCTGTATCTGGTGGGTGAACGGTGGAGCATCCCTGGAATCCTGCTCATTTCCTGTCCGCCCCTCTACCTTTTCCTCTCGACAGAAACAGCTTAATGGATCACTTTCAACCTGTGCTTCTTTTTGAGCCTCGGTGGTTGGACCTGAATGGGGGATATGGTTCTCTACTATGGCCGTGGACCGGTGGTTTGTCTCCCCGTCTGCATGTTTGTCTGTGCCCTCAGAACTCTGAAGGACATCGACCGCTTGAGCTCTTGGGCACGGCCTGAAGGCTTTCAGGACCACCTTAGGGGATCGCCGTCCTGTCACAGGTGCGGGAGCATTGCTGTCTAGGCTTCCTGAGTGTGAGGATTTAGCGTTCTCTGGTGTTGATGGCATGGCCTGGGATTTTGGGAGGCCTTCACTGTGGAGTGTCAGGGACACACTGTGAATGCTGCCCGCTGAGGACTGTGGGACCCGCGGGGAGCCCATCGGTGTCCTTTCTCCCTCCGGAGGAGAGAAAGAGTGCGATGTTGTCCGCCATTTTCGGGCTGTCTCCGCTACACTGTTGAAAAACTTGAACAGACCGCCAAAGTGCCCCTTGGTGTCAGAGTGTCTCGGGGGCGGGGGCTGAAAGTCTCTGACACTCTCGAAGTCGACGGAACCATAATCTGAGTCCATGGTCTTGTCAAAAGATGGAAGCTCAGAGTCAAAGCTCCTCTCCGAGTAGACCGGATTGGCCTTCCCCAGAATGGAAATCCGCCTCAGGTAACTCCACACGTCTTTGTGCCTCCTTCCTCTGCTGTGGTGGGTGTTCGGGCTACCGCTTGGCTCATCGCAACCCGCGGCCATTTTGTTACAGTTGTTTGAATTTCCTTGGCTTCTTTTAGTGTAGCAAACCCTTTCTGACTGTTTACAACCATTCTGAGTCACAGCCTCTCCCGCCACAGCGGGCTGCTGGCCGTCAATGGGAGCTACGAGGTCGATGTCTTCGAACGAGCAGTCAAAGTCGGCTGTGTGGCCAGCGTACGAGTGCCTCTTGCCACGGTGCCTGAGTGTGCTCCTGCCGGACTGCTGGGGAGTGCCGAGGTCCCGGCAGAAAGATTCCTCATCCACCAAGGAGCTGCCGAACTTGGCAGTGGACAATTTCTCTGTCTTCCCTCTAAACACAGAGGGGGATTTAAGCTTCTTGAAGGAGCGAACTTTGTCAGCAAACGAGAGTTTGGGGATGGAAGCCTCCCCGGGCAGGATCATGGAGTGAGGTCTGCGCTCCAGCTCTGAGCCAGCACGCTTTCGGTTCAAGATCCTCCAGATGCCCCCAGTGGCACGGGGCCTTCGGTTGACCTCCTGTCTCTCCTTGACAGGGGTCTGAGGAGAGGCAGCTTGTGTCTCTCCCTGCCCCTCTGCAGGCTCTGGCCCATTCTGCTGAATATAAACACTGCTGGTCTCATTCTCCACATCCAGAGAAACATTAAACACTCGGTTGACAAACCCATTAGGGTTGTTGCTCGCAGGGGCAGGGTTGTCTGTCTGCTCCATCCTCTCTCATTATACAGCGTCAGCTATCAGCTCCGATGGACGTCATGTCTCGGGCCGCTGTCAAACAACTGGAAGAACAAAAGATTTTCTCTTATTTTAATTCAGGAGTTTGACAATGAATGTATGTTTTCATGTAATGCGTGTTCCGTCCTATTCTGTCAAACAAACTGTGGCATTAATGCAAATGAGTTGCCGACAAATGCAGAATGAGAGCATTGGAGGTCGATAGTCAGACGAGGGCTTTTGTACCACCGGTAAACAGTCACAAACACTCGCAATCCCCTCTGCCCCCAGATGTACTCCACAATATCCAAAGCATTCTTTGGAGACGCAGTCCCGCAATCCAACATTTAAACATTTAAATGGCTGTGTTGTCATGGAAATCCTCACCGAAGAGATGCCTGATCATTTACCCCCGCTCCAGCTGGGACATCCTCATCAAAGCTCAGATAAGCTCCTTCTGAGGAGGACGATGCTCGGTGTCACACTACTACATGTTAATTACCCCGTCTCATAATCCCTTTAATGTATGGAAGCAGCGCGTGTGATTGTGAAATGAGATCATCACCTAATAGATGTTGTTTGATCCAAACTGGCCTTTTCGCAAGCGAGTGCCAGTGTGTTTAGTGAACAGGCCCGGGCTTCTTTCTGGTAGACTGTGTTTAAGGAAAGCAACGTTAGTCACTCGTCCGGCTGGGACGTAAAAAGCACTTTGAGCGCGCGAGGCTGAAGCGCGTGTCGGGTCACTTTATTGTGACGTCGCCGCGCAGCCTGTTGGTGGTAAATACGTTAGTTGGCTTATTCCGTCCCGTCGGAACACGTACGGTGACGAACTTTAGCCGCTGGGTTTCACGCTGACAGCTCGTAGCTGGCGGTGGCGGTGACCGCTTCGCTTTACCTTTGCTTCTGCGGCGTCTTCAAAGTGGCGTTGGTTTTAACCAGCAACAGGTTGCCCACTTCTTTTTTGTGGAGTGCACGTTTGTCAAATAGTTTCGTAATGTTGTTCCCCGTTAGCCGAATAAGACCGGAATAAGTCCGCGCGAGTTATAAACTTATTAATAACCACCGGAAATTGTTCCGTCAAATAATACCCGCAGAAAAAAGTTTCAAAGAAAGCTCACCTCGTAACGTTGCACATTTAAACGCGCCGTTAAAGCTGATAACTAACGTTAACGTTACTTCCGCCCGGTTTAACGGGCACCGTCGTCGCCGTCCGTGAAGCCGATAAAAAAAAAAACTCCCGCACACCGGCTCACCGCGTCCACCTCGCGCGGCTCCGCGTTCAACCCGAGGCCGAGTCACGTCGACTCCTTCCCGGCTTAGAGGAGTTCGTGTCCCGCCTGTAAACTCCGTGAGAGAAACTCCCCGAGCCGGCGGACCGGTGAACTCTTGCACTGTAAGCGCCCGCAGACGCCGACACTGTGATTTGTGATAAAGCACTCACTCAGACGCAGGAACTCTCACACACACACACACACACACACACACACATGCACACACACACGCACACACTCACACATCCTCCGCGCACACACGTACACACCTAAAATCCACACGACTGCACGCTGACAAACACATGGAAATTATGATAGCGAGTTTAGAGCCAATTAGTTGTTTGGTACGTCAGTCATGTATCTTTACAGTACAATATATTAGGATTTGTACTGTGCTTTAATCCTTGAGTTCTATCCTGAACTATTCTCCCAAACCTTCACAGCGTAGGTGTATATTTATGTTTAAGAGATGCTTTTTTTAATTGACAGATCATTTTGATCTGGCCGTCAGTGAAAACAAGTGATTGACTGAACTCTGGACCAGCTGATCCTCCTTTGGGATTTGGGTTGAATGTGAAAACCCTTCTATTGAAAAAGGCACAATGGCGGAAGGGAGCTCAGGGGGGGGGGCTGAAGGAATTTGCAAAAAACTAAACAGCTCCAGAGCTCCATAACCGTGAAAGAGGAGATGGTGGAAGACTGGTCCTAAATTTAAACATTTCCTCTTTGTCCTGCTTTGGGCCCATTGTCATCGCGTTCTCCCTTCTGCACAGGAAGGAGTGGATCTGACATCAACGCTCTCAGGCTGACAATGCCAGGAAGTCTGTCTGACTGTATGTAAATATCTCTGTGTGTCCGTGCTTCCCTTGCTTGCCCATAGAGACGCTTTCCCCTCCCTGGAGCGCACTTTGCGTACTTGAGCTTGTAGTAGTAGTAGTAGTAGTAGTAGTAGTAGTAGCAGTAGCAAGATGTTGGTTTACATGCTACACTTCCCCAGTAACTCATCCACAGCTGTGAATCACAGAAACATCCTCTCCAGATGACCTCTCCACTGTAGCTTCCTACAAGGTTCCATATGTAGACATAATAAGCTCACTTCATTGTTTCTATGGTATTAGTCTATTTCGGCTTTTTCATGTGTTATATGTGTCATTTTCCCTCAGAGGTTTGTGTCACCGCGGCGTTTGTTGCTCTCCTTCACATCATTTCCCTCCCTCCCCCTTATTCACTCACTTCCTCAGAACCCCAAGCCGTCTTCCTGTTGTCCCTTAACCCGTCACAAAAGACATCCTGGCTCAAACGGGCCAAGCGTTTCAGCTCAAATCTGGCTTATGTCGACATAAAACCGACTAACTCCTCATCTTCGGAGGATAAATCCACCCAAATGCCGTTATGTTTGAGTGACGAAAAGCATGAGAGCGGAAAGAAAAAGAGAGTGATGAATGGAGGGAGACAGATCGGAGATTTATAGACTCCCCACCAGATGGGCCCTTTTCTGAAATGATAACTTTTGTTGACGTTTGGCGAGCCGTTCGCATGCAGCGAGTTTACTTTGACGCCTATTTACCGCGAGTGTTGAACGCTACCAGCAGATCTCTTTGAAATGATGTCATTGGCCTCTCATTTTCAGAACAATCGGCCCCTTCCTCCTCTTCCTACGACACGGAACCCGAACTGGCGGCTTTCGGCTGGAGATTAGTGCAGACAAACACTCGCTGAGTTTAGGCCCAGATGTAATTATTTCACCAGTCTTTGTCAAAGCAGTTGAGTGAAAACAGGCTGGCGTGGAAAAGCCGGGCCAGACAGGGGCGGGTGTCAGAGGTGTTGTGATATCAAATGAAAGGCTTACTAAAAGCCTGGGAACTGGATTCAGGAGGTGTAACTCTTCAGAGAACAGTTATGGGTTTGGTCACGTTTTGTTTCCAGGTGCAGGTGTTTTGGGGACAGTCGGGCTGAAACGCTGCGTAGCTGCAATGTCACGGCAAATTCTTAAATGGAGAGATGCCCATGACGCTGCGTGTACACAGTATGACAACTCATGCTTTGGCGCGACACACACCATTTCTTCCCACCTCTGGAATGATTGTGCCCAGGTATAGAAGCCTCCAGTGGAAGAAGAGAGTTAGAATTACACTGACATTCCTCACATTCTCTTTGCTCTGACCTGCATACTTCGCTGGCCTAGCTGCACATGGCACTATCTCCAAAATACACACACACACTCACACACACACACACACACACACACACACACACACACACACACACACACACACACACACACACACACACACACACAATTGAACCCCCTCCTTAACAGACACTTTGATCTTGTCTGTTGTGGATAATCAATCAGTTTGGGCGCTCGCAGACATGTAACATCTCACAGGGCACACACATGGCCAGCCGGGAATGTTAACGCGTGTGAAGGGACAACGGGTTGTCGGGATGAAGCGACTCGTATCTAAAGCAGCCGTCGGCGGGGCCAGATTAACACTTCGCTGTACCCTGGGCAAAAATATTCAAGGGCCCCATGATCACGACCCCAGGATGCAAAATACAGAATAATTTACAGGAATATGAAGTTAATATACTCAATAATTCAAAAACTGTCATCAAGTGCATTTTATGTACAGATGTGCAAATGCTCATAGAACAACAAATGCACCTCAATGCCACTCACTCACATATGATTTTATGAAAACAAAACTCAGTATAATCTGGCAAAATTGACCCACTACATAGAGAGGGAAGGAAGGTTAATCCATTTTGAACAAAAAAGAAATAAGCAACCACTTTCAAAGCATCCATATTTATTTAACACCACCTATTCCCAACACAAATGTATTGAACTGATGGATCCATCACAGAGGAAGTCCACGGACAAGGACAATCAAGTTATAGTGCAATATAAACATTTTGAAATCTGCCTGTTTTTTCTCAACAATAAACAATTTACAGAAATGCGACATAATGTGTCAACATACACAATTTTAATCCTAAATAATGGGAAAGTGCATGTTTAAATTTGAAATGCTTGGTTTCATTTGGCAAACACATCTTACAGTGGCATTTTCTGGACTTTTCTGCAAACTGGTGTACAATATCAAGGGCACTAACAAGTTCATGTTCGACGTGCAGAGAGCCGTGTCTGTGACATTGTGGTCCTCAGCTCATTTTTAACTCGTTTCAAAACAGAAAACGACCTCTCACAGTTAGACAAAGGCAAGGTTAAAAACATGCTTATTGCAACATAAACATTTGGAAATGTTGTCTTAAGTCCATGTCTCTCAAGAGCTTGCAGAAGATGTACAGGTGAAGTCAAGTGCTTGAACTGAATAAGTTTGTCTGAGAAGGAACTATCCAGATCTGTCGGATAAGTGGAGCACAGCTTAGCAGCGCTTTCACGCACATCACAATCATTGCAGTCCCCCTCAAATCAAACTCCAAAGAAGTCACACGCATGTGTGTAGGCTTCGATGGGCACAAACAAAGTCTGTCAATGATGACATAATATGTTTCAACCTTAAATCTCTGACTATCAGTAAGAGCTACTTCACTGTCAAAACACTCAACCCACAAACAAGCTTTTCACTGAACATGCTTTACCATTTGTGAATGTCACACAATCTAATCTGCAGTCACTTTTAAAGCATTCAAGTGGTAAATCATGGGACTATGGCCAGAAAGTTTAACAAGACTAAAGGGGTCGTGTCCAGCCTTAACCCTTATTTTAAAGTGCTTAAATTTGGCAGAAAGTGTGACTTAATGTACAACAAAAATAATACTTTCATCAAAATATTTGGACAAAAAAAAAGAAATTCCATGAAAAACAGACACCTGTAGAGTTGTACACCAGGTAACGGCTTGCTGGAGGTCCGTTAAAGATCAGATCATTCATCAGAAGCGTGAGGAATTCCCGCCTCGGCCCGCCGGTATCTAGGCCTTCTTCATCGGTAAACTTCACAAACATGTCATTCTCCTCGGAGTACGTGCAACGCTGAAAACCTCTGACAGCACCATCCCATACATTAGATCTGGACACGTGGAATCTGTTGACTTTGCTGTGGTCAATGGAAAGCGCCAATGACTACTCGTACAATGGATGGATAATACTATAATAATATAGCACTCATGACTCACATTGGTTCTAGGAGATGCCTCATTATTTTCTTTGACAGTTAGAACTTCATCTTCATCGTCGTCGTCATCACTGACGATAGGCGCATACAGGTCTGTGTAGTTGCTACAAAAAGAAAATATGTACACAAAATACAATGTAAAGAAAGGGGTCATTGATTGCAAAACCGATTTGACCATGTAATGGTTGAATAACGACAGCTCGGTGGGTAAAATGGACATACAGTGAACCTCATTGATACATTGTCATCGATCCACCCATTGATACCTCTTTCCTATCTAAATCTCACAACTTGAAACTGCAGCTGTAAAACGATCTGTTTCGAAAAGGCTGAATTTGTGACGTCACAAATGTAGCGTCGCCTTTGTCACCCCCCTACCTGAAGTTACGTACAGACCAGCCCTCTGGTGTTCTGCCGCAGGATCTCAGACACTACTTTAGCTGTGCGCTGCTTTGTGTACTTCCACGGGAATTACAAAGGAGCTAGTTTGGAAGTTTTTAAAAGGATATTCAAAATGGACCTGGTCCATTTTCAGCGCAACCAATGTTACTGAACATACCGTATTTTCTGCACTACAAGGCGCACCTTCAATGAATGACCTATTTTAGAACATTTTTCATATATAGGGCGCACCGGATTATCAGGCGCATCAGATACTGCAGTCAAACGTTTGACGTCGGGGCGGGTGGATGTGGGGAGGTGGAGACGGTGCTTTCAGGGTCCGATCGATGCTGCGAGGTGCGTCCGCTCCCGCCGCCCCCCTCGCCATCCACGCCTTAAATCTTCGGCTGCTCTCCAGCCACGCCGCCTGCCAAGGGCTCCTTTTACAACAACTTATTTCCCCGTTAAGATGGTTCAGCTACTATAGAGAAAAGGGCGCCGTCTCTCGCTCTTTAATCTCATGAAGTGCTCGGCAAGAACGACAGCTTTGTTTCTCCGACGCGCCCTGAAACAAGCTCCATATCTCACGCGCTTGAGCGCCCGCTCAGCATCTCGCCGCCGTAGACCGAGCTTTGGCATGTTTGGCAGAGCGCCTTGAGCGCCGTGTACAACCAGTATGGATCAACCGATTAACCAACTGATCCATATATAAGGCGCTCCGGATTATAAGGCGCACTGTTTTTTTTTGAGAAAATGAAAGGCTTTTAAATGCGCCTTAGAGTGCGGAATATCCGGTACCCTTTTCAGAGACCTTAAAGAACAGTGTGAAATACCCTTAAAACCCAGTCAATGACCCCTTTAATATTCTAGAATATTTAAAACAAAAGCCCCAAAACCAAACCTGTAATATGTTCTCGCCATTCGAGGACATCCGGAGGTACTTGGACGGATATCCTCTGTATTCGTCTGTATTGCACTGCTTTCATGCACAGGTTCACATGGCTGTAGTAAAGCATTACAAAGACAGTGGGGTTGATCAGAACTTAACACAGCAAACAAAAGACGTTTTCATTAAAAAAAAGCATACGATAGAAAATAAAACAACATGCTTTACATAGCACTCACCAACGTGTCAGCTAGCTCAAATGTTGTGAGGGCTCTTTTTATCACAATCTCTGTGTCAGAGTCAGAAATGTCAGACACTTTTCCAACTGGAACAATTAAAGTTAGCTTGATTGGTGTCAGTCAAAGACAAACATTTAAAAAGAAGTTAACTCCAGAAGAAAGTGATGAATGGAAAACTGGTTTGAGGCACTGCACCAGAAACACTTGGTTTTTTTATGCATCTACAACTCCAACTTCTCTTCTCAACTCCTTGCAGTAATTTGAACATGAATACAGACAACACCATGGGGAACTATTTTTAAACCTATTTACGTATGTATCAGAGGTGAAACATCAAGCCACAGAAATAAATGGATACCTTCTTCAAAGACCGTCTTTGGGCAGATAAAAATTGTGATCCTTGAATATGGTTTGCCTAATTCTGCTTTATATTTTTCTAGAATAAAAGGTCTTTGTGTCCCAGGGGTATTGATGACTTCAGATGCATCTGGATACAGAAGGATGAAGGCTCCTTCACCCAGGTCTTGGTTAAAGTCCCTCATTTTCTTCACACTGTGATGAAGAAGACTTTGAGCGGTGATGTCAGAGACGGTTGATAAGGGAATGGTTTTCCCACGTGAGGGCTTTAAAACACCCTTCTGAGCAGTCATCAAGCCAAGATTAATCTGCAAGAGAAAAAACACTAACTGGTAAGGAGGGTCTTCATCTGGGTTAAAGAACAGTGATTAAAAAAGTGGTTGTTTCTCTGTTGGCAAATGTTACACAGAGTCCAAATGGATCTTTCTTTCACAGTGTGACTCAAAGGAGAGCAACCTTAATCCTGCCTTCAATTCCTAGTGAACAGCAGTTTTGGAAGGCCCTTTTGTAATCAAAGCTCGATCTTGGTCAACTAACAGGTATTAATCTTTTTTTATTCATTTCCACAGAACACATCAATTCATATTCATGATCAGGAATCAGTTAAAAAAAGTCAAATATTTCCAACAGATAAACTCAGGGAATTCTATGTGGTTTGAGTGAATTGACTACAATACAGAAACCTATTTTTAACATTTACATATTTAATCTTCCAACATGACTTGAAGCAAAACTATATTATTTGCCATTAAATTGACCCTACCGGGGGGTTTAGGTATAGGGTTCAAATGATGATGGGATGTCGACAGCAAGTCAACACTGAAATAATTATTTGCTGTCTCTCTGAGCGATATCAAATCACATTTGCACGGTTTACTTGACAGATGTCTGATCCTATCTCATTATCACCTTGATCATAAATAATTGACTAAATATCTGAATGGCAAAGGGGGAGAGGGGCAGTTACTTCAGTTTTAGGCAGGGATGTTGTGGTGCCAACGCGATAGTCTGCCAAGGATCATAATACGCAAATATACATAATTAACGTGATATGTCCGTGGTAACAGCAAAGAAATTTATTTTTTAAACCAATGTTTCTTGTTACCTAACGTTAATTCAATCGAATTTGGAGTGTATAGCTAGTGTGGTCAGGCATGCCATTTACGACAGGCAGGGGAAACCCACCATTACCTTCAAATAAGGTTACGTTAACTTATCCCAGTGAGCATTTTTTGGTTGAAAAGACGTTTAAAAGACGTCTATGCCCGACGTTGAAAAGACGTCTATGCCCGACGTTGCAAAATGGTTTAAAAGTGAAAGTTGTTTCAACGTCTATTCGTAGACGTTGAAAAGACGTCTATGTTTAGACCACATTTCAACGTGATTTTTTAATACGGTAATATTTCGTCCTCTCTTGTGTGCTATATCATTATTTTAGAGGTTTAAAAGGAAACTACGTCCACATTTGTAAGTTTACCACCGATATTATAAATCACGTTGAAAACGGGTCTATACGTGAACGTCTTTTCAACGTCTACGAATAGACGTTGAAACAACTTTCACTTTTAAACCATTTTGCAACGTCTTTTCAACGTCGGGCCATAGACGTCTTTTAAACGTTGTTTGAACGGATAAATTGCTCGCTGGAAACTTACAAGTTACATACTTAGTCACAGTTGTCATGTTAACAGCCCTTAACAAGGACAAACACATTATTTTATTAATTTGCATTTATTATAAATATAACACTATACATATAACACTTTTCCTAATTAAAAACAATACAAAAATAAAATATATATTTCAGGGAAATGAACTATGGATTTAAAAGTGCAGAAACAACATTTCTGTGTTCAACAACAACAATTCTGTGTTTGTAGACCATTTTTCTGAATCATTTGAACTTCATTTTTAGATTCTGTAACAAGATGTGGATCTGAGTCACTTGAGTTGGGATAGTATACCCGAAATCAGCTGCATCTCCCTCATCCTCACTTGAGGATTCTTTGTGTAAAGGGAGTCAGAGTGCACGGAGCAGATTCCTCTGGTCAACGTGTTTATTCAATTCAAATCTGTCAGGACCGGATAAAAATGAGGACTCAGATGCAGAGGGTTTGGCGTCTTTAATCGCGTCGTGAAAAAACAAACAAACGGCTATGAGCTATCAGTGTTTCCGACGAAAGTTAACAAACTAAAATCTCTCTTAAACGAGGAAAACGAACGGCTTCGAAAGCGCGCTAAAACTAAAACTAAGAAGCTCCAACAAAGGTCACTCTTACTCAGAGGAAAAAACATAAAGGGGTAATCATTCCGAGACAAGGCATTGGTATTAACAAATCCTGTGGCTGTGGCGAGGCTTGGGTGATCGCACGGTGGTACACTCAGGCACAAGACAAAGGGAGACGCAGACTATAAGACACATGAGGGTAATGGGAAACAGGTGGACACAATCAGGAATCAGGGGAGACGATTCGACTGGTGACATGAGGAAGGGCAAGTGACCTGAAACGAGAGGAAGGTTACTACTTTCAAAATAAAACGGAAATGACAAGACCAAAACATGCCGACAAAAACCCAACTTGACCTCACCCTGTGACAGTACCCCCCCTTCTAGGGCCGACTCCTGACGGCCCAGGCTGTTCAGGGTGGTCCCTATGAAAATCCTTTATGAGGTTAGGGTCTACAATGAAACGCGATGGGATCCACTGTCTCGCCTCCGGTCCATATCCTTCCCAGTCCACTAGGTACTGTCTACCCCGGCCCCGAGTGCGTACCGCCAACAACTGCTTGACCTTATACACCGGACCGCCGTCTATAACTTCTGGTTGTGGCGGGGGTGCAGCAGCAGGGACCATCGGGCTCTCTTTCGCAGGCTTGACCTGGCTGACGTGGAAGGTGGGGTGAGCACGAAGGGATCGAGGCAGGCGAAGACGGACCGCCACAGGGCCGATGGTCTTAGTGATGGGGAATGGGCCCACGAACCGTGGAGCCAGCTTCCTTGAAGGCACCTTGAGGTTGAGGTTCTTAGCTGACAACCACACTTTCTGACCTTGCTGGTAGGCAGGGGCGGGTCGTCTCTTGCGGTCTGCAGCCTTCTTTACTCTGTCCCCTTGGCGAATCAGCACCTGCCGGGCGGCTGCCCAGATGCGACGGCAGCGACGAATCATTGCAAGGGCGGAGGGCACAGACACCTCCGGTTCATTGTCTGCAAACACGGGGGGAAGGTAACCAAACACACATTGAAATGGTGGGAAACTAGTGGCTGAGGTAGGCAATGAATTGTGGGCATACTCGGCCCAGACCAGGTTCTTGCTCCATGTTGAGGGATCCTGGGCCACCAGACACCGGAGGCTGGTTTCCAGTTGCTGGTTGAGGCGTTCGGTCTGGCCGTTGGCCTCTGGGTGATACCCCGAGGTCAGGCTGGCCTTCGCTCCGATGAGCCGACAAAAGGCCCTCCAGAACCGGGAAACAAATTGGGGCCCCCGGTCCGAAACTATGTCCTTGGGGAAGCCGTGGATCTTAAAAACATTGTTCATCATTACCTCCGCCGTTTTCTTGGCGGAGGGTAGTTTTGGCAGAGCAATGAATCTAGCCATCTTAGAAAATCTATCCACAACCGTGAGGACAGTGGTGTTACCTTGTGAAACCGGGAGCCCCGTGACAAAGTCTATAGAGATGTCTGACCACGGTCTGGAGGGGATGGGTAGTGGCTGTAAGAGTCCCATGCGTGACGTAGAAGAAGTCTTGTTTCGGGCGCAGACCGAACATGCCTCAACGTACTCCCGGACCTCCGGTTCCATGGCTGGCCACCAGAATCTCCGGGAGATGACGAACATCGTCCTCCGAACTCCCGGATGGCAAGAAAGCAGTGAGGTGTGGGCCCAGTGGATCACCTGTGGGCGTAACTCAACCGGAACGAACAACCGAGTTGCGGGGCACCCACTAGGTGGTGGGGTCTCACCATTAGCCTGCTTTACCTCATTTTCTATCTGCCAAGTCACTGCTCCAACCACACAGGTTAGTGGAAGGATGGCTTCTGGTTCTTTGGCAACAGGCTCGGGGTCGAAGAGTCGAGACAAGGCGTCGGGCTTGACGTTGCGGGACCCCGGCCTGTAGGAAAGGGAAAAGGAAAACCGGTTAAAGAAAAGCGCCCACCTGGCCTGGCGAGAATTCAGTCTTTTGGCTTTTTTAATGTATTCAAGGTTCTTGTGATCAGTCCAGACAATGAATGGGTGGTTAGCCCCCTCAAGCCAGTGTCGCCACTCCTCCAGGGCCACCTTGACCGCCAGCAGTTCCCGGTTACCAACATCATAATTGCGTTCTGCTTTGGACAGCCGCTGTGACAGGAAGGCGCAGGGATGCATTTTACCATCCTGCTCCGACCGCTGTGAGAGGACTGCCCCGATCCCTTCGTTGGAGGCGTCCACCTCAACCACAAACTGTCGCCGGGGGTCTGGCATGGTGAGAATGGGGGCCGAGGTGAAAAGACGCTTGAGGTTCTGGAAGGCTGTCTCCGCCTGTGGAGACCATTGGAACTGCACCTTTGAGGAGGTAAGAGCATGGAGAGGGGCAGCTATTGCGCTAAAGCCTCTGATGAACCGTCTGTAAAAGTTAGCAAAGCCGAGGAATTGCTGAACCCTTTTACGGCTATCAGGTGTGGGCCATTCTGCCACAGCGCTAATTTTTGCCGGATCCATCTGCACCCTTCCAGGGGCTACAATGAAGCCCAGGAAGGAGATGGTGTCGGCATGAAACACACTCTTTTCTGCTTTGACGTAGAGTCTGTTCTCCAACAGTCTTTGAAGTACTCTGGTTACGTGGTCTCTATGGGTGTCAAGGTCAGGTGAGTAAATGAGGATATCATCCAGGTACACATACACGAAATGGTCTATAAAGTCCCTTAGGACATCATTAATCATGGCTTGGAACACTGCGGGCGCGTTTGTTAGCCCAAACGGCATGACCAGGTATTCGTAATGTCCCCTCGGGGTATTAAACCCTGTCTTCCACTCGTCACCCTCTCTTATTCTGATTAGATGGTAGGCACTGCGAAGGTCTAGCTTAGTAAAGACTTTAGCCTGCTGGAGCTGATCGAACACAGAGGACATGAGGGGTAGAGGGTAACGGTTCTTTATTGTGATGTCGTTTAGAGGGCTGTAGTCTATACAGGGCCTCAGGGACCCGTCCTTCTTTGCCACAAAGAAGAAGCCGGCGCCTGCTGGGGATGACGAGGGACGGATCAACCCCGCTTTGAGTGAAGTCTGGATGTACTCCCGCATGGCCTCCTTCTCTGGCCCCGAAACAGAGTACAGGCGGCCCTTGGGAACGACAGAGCCCGGAAGCAGATCTATAGCGCAGTCATATGTCCGATGTGGAGGAAGAGACATGGCTTTAGTCTTGTTAAAAACCTCCCGAAGGTGGCGATAGCAGGGGGGCACGGTGTTCAGGTCCGGGTACTCTGAGTCTGTGGTAGATTTAACGGAAGCAAGGTTAAGCACTGGAATATCCTCTGCCGGACTAAAAACGTCGAGGCAGTTCCCAACACAGTCCTCCCCCCACCCTATAATTTCTCCCGTTCGCCAGTTCACATGGGGGTTGTGGCGACACAGCCATGGCTGTCCCAAGACCAGTGCCTGAGAAGGGCATTGAAATAAATAAAAACGAATGATCTCTTTATGGTTCTTTATGTGCATTTCGAGAGGTTCGGAGGTGTGGGTGATGGTGAACAGTTCAGCTCCGTTGAGGGCCTTGGCTTGGATAGGCTTTACCAAGAGCTCGGACTTGATACCGAGTCTCTTCGCTAGTCCCCAGTCCAACAAGCTCGCGTCAGCCCCCGAGTCTAATAGCGCCTCAAGTCCTGTGGTGGTGTGGTGCATTACCTTGACCGCTGTGAGGGTTCGGGAAGCAGAGCCTGGAGCAGCGAGTTGTCTCACCACTGTGGGTCTCCTGGCTGGACAGCCCACAACAAGATGGCCCAAATCCCCGCAATAAAAGCACCGCCCTTCTTGCTGTCGTCGCAGTCGCTCTCCCGTGGTCAGCCGGGCCCTCCCCAGCTGCATAGGTTCCCCCCCTTCTTCCGTGGTGAAGGGCCCCGGCTGGTCGGGCGGAGCGCGTTGGGGGTCTGGTCCGCCTGGCGCACGGGAGCGTGGGTATCCCTCAGCCGTAGCAGAGCTGTTGCTCCGCTCTCGTCTGAGTTGGCGGAGCCGGTTATCCGTCCGGATGGCAAGCGCGATGAGAGAGTCTAAATCTGGGGGTAGATCCAAAGGCACCAGGAGGTCTTGAACAGGAGCAGCCAGCCCCTTCAGGAACACATCGTACAAGGCGGTGGAGTTCCACCCGCTCTCTGCAGCCAAGGTGCGGAAGTGTATGACGTAGTCACAGACAGAGCGGTCGCCTTGCCTCAACCTGCTCAGCTCCTGAGCCTTTTCGCGGTCGGTCGACACTGGGTCAAAAACCCTCTGTAAGGCTGCTTTAAAGTCGGTGAGGGAAAAGCAGAGTGGGGAGTCACGAGCCCACTCTGCCGAGGCCCATGCTTTGGCCCTGCCGGTCAGGTGGGTCATCATGAATGCTACCTTGGACCTTTCGGTGGGGAAAGCATGAGGAGTCAGTTCAAAATGAATAGAACAGTCAATGAGAAAGGTCTTGCATAGTCCCTGCTCCCCCGCAAATTTCTCAGGGGGGGCTAACCTTCCTCCAGACCCATGGACAACCGCTGTCGGGGGAGGAGCAGCCTCTACTGTCGGGGCCCTGGGGGCTGTGGTGTCCTGGACGAAAAGGTCACGCAGACCCTGAATTTGGGATGAGAGTAGGCTTATGTGAGAAGCCAGTGACGTCTGGAATTCCTCTTGACGGGAAAGACGGGCATCTTGGGCACCCAGGGCTGCCGCCATCTGTTCTGCCTCTGCTGAGTCCATACTGGCCTGAGTGTTCTGTCAGGACCGGATAAAAATGAGGACTCAGATGCAGAGGGTTTGGCGTCTTTAATCGCGTCGTGAAAAAACAAACAAACGGCTATGAGCTATCAGTGTTTCCGACGAAAGTTAACAAACTAAAATCTCTCTTAATCGAGGAAAACGAACGGCTTCGAAAGCGCGCTAAAACTAAAACTAAGAAGCTCCAACAAAGGTCACTCTTACTCAGAGGAAAAAACATAAAGGGGTAATCATTCCGAGACAAGGCATTGGTATTAACAAATCCTGTGGCTGTGGCGAGGCTTGGGTGATCGCACGGTGGTACACTCAGGCACAAGACAAAGGGAGACGCAGACTATAAGACACATGAGGGTAATGGGAAACAGGTGGACACAATCAGGAATCAGGGGAGACGATTCGACTGGTGACATGAGGAAGGGCAAGTGACCTGAAACGAGAGGAAGGTTACTACTTTCAAAATAAAACGGAAATGACAAGACCAAAACATGCCGACAAAAACCCAACTTGACCTCACCCTGTGACAAAATCATTTTATTTTGTTCAGCTTTGCAATCTGTAAACATGCAACATCCTGTCCCAAAACCCCCAAAATGTAAAAAACCTTCAACCGGGAGAAACCTGAGGGGAAAACAGCAAGGCAGTAGGTGTGTAGAGTATGAACAATTTAAAGATGTACAGTACATCCAATTCCTACGACAGAAATGATTCTAATATTGTGGATTACTAAGCCAGGGGTAAGGCAGGACCAGTGCAGGGACAACCATCATCAGACGTAACCTCCATCAGATGCAACCACCACCCGCAGAAACCTGTGAGGTGGGAAAGCACAAAGGCAAAGTTGGTCATTTGGCTTTATGATGACAGTAATAAACTAATAATAACAACAGCAGCTGGTGTGTTAGAACCCTCATTTATAGATGGTTTACTTATTACATTATCAACAAGATAACAATTCATCTGCAACTTATGGTATTTCTGGAGTAACATTTCCAGGTATATTACACAGTATCATGCTTTAAGCAGCAGTAACTTACAATGTGTTGGCCCTCTTGTTTACAGAGCTACCCCAGTGAGCATTTTTTGGTTGAAAAGACGTTTAAAAGACGTCTATGCCCGACGTTGAAAAGACGTTGAAAAATGGTTTAAAAGTGAAAGTTGTTTCAACGTCTATTCGTAGACGTTGAAAAGACGTCTATGTTTAGACCACATTTCAACGTGATTTTTTAATACGGTAATATTTCGTCCTCTCTTGTATGCTATATCATTGTGATGTTTAAAAAGAAACTACGTCCACATTTGTAAGTTTCCCACTGATATTATAAATCACGTTGAAAACGGGTCTATACGCGAACGTCTTTTCAACGTCTACGAATAGACGTTGAAACAACTTTCACTTTTAAACCATTTTGCAACGTCTATGAATAGACGTCTATGAATAGACGTTGAAACAACTTTCACTTTTGAACCAATTTGCAACCTCTTTTCAACGTCGGGCCATAGACGTCTTTTAAACGTTGTTTCAACGGATAAATTGCTCGCTGGAAACTTACAAGTTACATACTTAGTCACAGTTGTCATGTTAACAGCCCTTAACAAGGACAAACACATTATTTTATTAATTTGCATTTATTATAAATATAACACTATACATATAACACTTTTCCTAATTAAAAATACAAAAATAAAATATATATTTCAGGGAAATTAACTATGGAATTAAAAGTGCAGAAACAACATTTCTGTGTTCAACAATTCTGTGTTTGTAGACCATTTTTCTGAATCATTGGAACTTCATTATAGATTCTGTAACAAGATGTGCCTCACTTGAGTTGGGATAGTATACCTGAAATCAGCTGCATCTCCCTCATCCTCACTTGAGGATTCTTTGTGTAAAGGGAGTCAGAGTGCACAAAGCAGATTCCTCTGGTCAACGTGTTTATTCAATTCAAATCATTTTATTTTGTTCAGCTTTGCAATCTGTAAACATGCAACACCCTCTCCCCTAAACCCCAAAATGTAAAAAACCTTCAACCTGCAAGTTAAGCAGCAGTAACTTACAATGTTTCGGCCTCTTGTTTACAGAGCACAACTTGTTGAATTCAGCCCTTCACCCTTGCAATGCAACTTAGCCACCATTGCTTTAAAAACGTATTTTTTTCAATGTGAAATGCAATAATATTTATGGGTACAGCAACAATCTAACGCATTAGCAACACCAAACACGCACAAAAATGTCTGGAATGTTTACTTTTGGTCCAGGTCATCATGCTGCACGCTAGCATGCTCCAAGCTAGCATGCTAACTAGCAAACTACCTGCGCTAACGCTAACTAGCTTAACAAAAAGGGCCGTCTTTCCTGTATCGAGTCGGCAGCACAAGTAAAACACCCGGTTATAGTTCCAGGTGTGCTTCATTCAAACACTCGCGTACTTACAGAGTAGTGGAGCCGGTAGTCGTGGTTCTATCAGCCCGTTCATGTCGCTCTGCTGCCGTAACTTCGCTTCGTGCTGCGTCCGCTCGGAGCTCTGCAGGCGTCTAAGAACTCGCGCATGCGCGTTACAGATGTGAGCGGAGTTACGTGTTTACAAGTAATGTTTGAACCTGCCCGCATTATTATGTCTTAAACGCATCTTATTGACAGCACGCAGTCCGTAGTTTCATATTTATGACGTTTTAAGCGAAATAGTAAATACGTTGAAATTACGTCTTCGCGTAGACCAAATTTCGCCGACCAGTTCATTAATTATTCTGAAAATCTTAACGTTAATATCGTCTCTCTTTCAACCTTACGTTACAACATGACACATTTATCAACAAATTAACGTTTTCTGGCACGTTGATGTTTCATCCCATTTTTAGCCGGTTGAAAAGACGTTGAAATGAGGTCTTAGACGTTCAGAACGTTTCAACCCGATTTCAACCATATTTCAACGTTGAAATTACGTCTTGTGCTCACTGAAGTTGGTCCATCGGTGGGTTGAGCCAAAGACTCCAGACTTTTTCCAAGTATCTGTCCACAACCACTGCAAAAAATCGGTTGGTTCGCCAACAACTTTTGACGACAAACATTCTTTTTTTCGCCGTATTTTCGCGCGGAATGAAGGTCTAGCAAGCGAGCGAGTCCTCATTTCCTGTTGACAGACAGTCCGCCTGTCCAATCAGAAGGGTCCGTCCTCTGCTTATAGGGTCCTACCCTTTCCGTAAGAGGTTCATTTCGTTGTGTTTTCCTATTTGCTGTTGTGTTTCGCACGTCAGTTGCCAGTTGCCACAGCCATTAACGTCATGAAATCCTTTGATGTTGAAATCTACATATACAACTCATAACTTCTCTGGACTTCTTGAGAGCTGCACGCTTTCTGCTCAGTCCTGCATCAGTTGATAACCTTTGACCGCTGTACAATACCACAATACAACGCTTTTCAAGTTTTATCGTGTACACCCAAGTATTTTACCCAACATTTAAATCAAGCAGGAGAAATGGCGGAAACGAATCTGACTGTTTCCAACCAGGAGCCAGGAGGGTCATCTGAACAGTTCAACGCAGAACATATGAGCCTGAGTGAAATCTGCAAAGTTCTTAAGTCTATGCGCATGAAAATTCACTCGAGCAGAATACACGTTGAAGGATGGGGATCTTTGAAAGTTAAAGATGATAAATATGAGAATCACAGGCAGGAGGAAGCCATTGCTAGGAGAAAATGTGAAACCCTTCAAAAAGAGGCAAAGAGTCTCCTTGATCAGGTCAAAAATCATGAATATTTTGAATCAATCTACAGCGCCCAAAAAGAACTAAACGAACATATGTCTTCTAGACATCAAAGGCTGGAAGTAGAGGTGGAATTGCAGCGGAAAATGTTGGAGCACTTAAAACGTGTGGAGTCAAAGGCTGCATCCATAACAAAGGAGAATGAGGAGTATGACCAAAAAATTCACCTCCTGGAGACCACACTGCAAAAGGTAACCAATGAATGTAACCTTTTATCTGAGGCCAATAAACGAGATGCCCATCAGCTTGTTATGAAGAAGACTTTGGTGAAGAACTTAACCTCTAAAACAGCTTCGACTCACTTGGATTACAAACGTCTGCAATATAAGAATAAGAAACTGATTGCAGAGACACAGGAGTTAGAAATACAGGTCTCGGCTCTGCAAGATGAGAAAAGCGAAATAAACCTGAAACTTGTCAACCAACGCCGTCAAAATGAGGACGCAATGCACCGTAGGGACGCTTTGGAGAGAATAACCAATCATTTAAAACAGCAAATCCAGGGCTTCAATGAAGAACTCACGTCCAGAGAATCTTTGGCACCGCAACTGAAATGCCAGGTGACTGTTCTGGAGGAGCAGCGGCGACAGTTGATTAAGGTCAGCACGGAGGCCACCAACAAGCTACTCCGTGAAAAAGACTGGAAGGCTGGCTATGACTCACTGAGGAAATACAAAAACGCCCTGGAGCTGAGGAACAATGAATGGAAAGAGAATATCCTCAGTCTAATGAACAGTCTCAAAGATCTTGACGCCTGTAAGGCAAACTACGAATCATTGAAGACAGATATAAAAGTTGCAACCAGACTGAATAAAACTCTCAAAAATCAACACAAGACCCTGGAAAACAAGATCTCAAAAGAGCGGAAGTATGTGGAAAAAAACAACGCAACAAAGTCAGAAAGCGAAAGCCTGATGGGTGAAAACTGCACTCTTCAGTGTCAGATTGAGGAACTGCAGAGCACCCTTCAGAAAACGCAAGCTTTGACTCGAGAGGCCGCTAGAGAAGCACCTCTGAAGGAGTGCAACGAGGCAATGAGGGCAGAAAACCAGATCGATTACAGACAATTGGACTTTCTCCCGGGGCAAGTACCCTCCACGTCGCATGTAGAAAGGGTGAACCAGAAAAAGTGTTGGTTTGAACCCTCGCCGGTCCCGAACCAGACACCCTTACCACCCTTAGGGCTGGCGCATGCTTCTGCGTCTGAGTCTGCGTGGTCGCGTCGACACGCTCGTTTCAAATCATGGTTCTAAAAGGCTTGCGTGTGTTGCAGAGCAATTCACCGCCAGAACAACAGATGGAGTAACGTGTTTCTGTTGAAGACAACCTTTTCATAGCGGTATTGTGCTATGAAAACGGAAATGTGAGACTCTGTAAAGGATGTAGTTAGCAGACCAATCGCCGCCTTGTGCGCAGCGGGAGACTTGCGTTTTTGATATGTCATTTTTTTAGAAGATATGGACCAGCGTCCGCGTCCCCCCCGTACCACCCCCCTTAACCGGAACACACTCCCCCATACCCGCCTGTCAGGGTTTTTGTCCCCATGCATCACTTCAGTCGCCGACAAAAGGACCCTCACCAAACTGCTTACCATCATGGACAATGAAAACAATCCTCTCCACAGCACGATCAGTCGACAGAAGAGTCTGATCAGCAGGAGACTGCGCTCGCTGCCATGTAGGACTGATAGACTGTATAAATCAATCATCCCCAGAGTCATATAACTGTACAATAACACAACCCACCAACCAGAGGTACCTCACTAGAAAAACTCAGTTTTCTAGTGAGCCATGTTTACTGGCTATGTTAGCCTTTGCACAGCCCCAAACTTGGCTGTGTTGGCCCTTTGCACAACCTCCCAACTACTAGCTATGTTGGCCAACACCCCCCCCCAACTACTAGCTATGTTGGCCAACACCCCCCCCCCAACTACTAGCTATGTTGTACAATAACACAACCCACCAACCAAAGGTACCTCACTAGAAAAACTCAGTTTTCTAGTGAGCCATGTTTACTGGCTATGTTAGCCTTTGCACAGCCCCAAACTTGGCTATGTTGGCCCTTTGCAAAACCTCCCAACTACAAGCTATGTTGGCCAACACCCCCCCCCAACTACTGACTATGTTGGCCAACACACCCCCCAACTACTGGCTATGTTGGCCAACACCCCCCCCCCCCCAACTACTGGCTATGTTGGCCAACCCCCCCCCCCCCAACTACTGGCTATGTTGGCCAACACCCCCCCCCCCCCCCCAACTACTAGCTATGTCGGCCCTTTGCACAACCCCCCTCCCCCGACTACTGGCTACTACTGGCTATGTTGGCCAACCCCCCCCCCCCCAACTACTGGCTATGTCGGCCCTTTGCACAACCCCCTCCCCCGACTACTGGCTATGTTGGCCAACACCCCCCCAAACTACTGGCCATGTTGGCCAACACCCCCCCCCCCAACTACTAGCTATGTTGGCCAACACCCCCCCCCCAACTACTAGCTATGTTGGCCAACACCCCCCCCCCCAACTACTAGCTATGTTGGCCAACACCCCCCCCAACTACTAGCTATGTTGTACAATAACACAACCCACCAACCAAAGGTACCTCACTAGAAACTCAGTTTTCTAGTGAGCCATGTTTACTGGCTATGTTAGCCTTTGCACAGCCCCAAACTTGGCTATGTTGGCCCTTTGCAAAACCTCCCAACTACAAGCTATGTTGGCCAACACCCCCCCCCAACTACTGACTATGTTGGCCAACACACCCCCCAACTACTGGCTATGTTGGCCAACACCCCCCCCCCCCCAACTACTGGCTATGTTGGCCAACACCCCCCCCCCCAACTACTGGCTATGTTGGCCAACACCCCCCCCCCCCCAACTACTAGCTATGTCGGCCCTTTGCACAACCCCCCTCCCCCGACTACTGGCTACTACTGGCTATGTTGGCCAACCCCCCCCCCCCCAACTACTGGCTATGTCGGCCCTTTGCACAACCCCCTCCCCCGACTACTGGCTATGTTGGCCAACACCCCCCCAAACTACTGGCCATGTTGGCCAACACCCCCCCCCCCCCAACTACTAGCTATGTTGGCCAACACCCCCCCCCCAACTACTAGCTATGTTGGCCAACACCCCCCCCCCCAACTACTAGCTATGTTGGCCAACACCCCCCCCCCCAACTACTAGCTATGTTGGCCAACACCCCCCCCAACTACTAGCTATGTTGTACAATAACACAACCCACCAACCAAAGGTACCTCACTAGAAACTCAGTTTTCTAGTGAGCCATGTTTACTGGCTATGTTAGCCTTTGCACAGCCCCAAACTTGGCTATGTTGGCCCTTTGCACAACCTCCCAACTACAAGCTATGTTGGCCAACACCCCCCCCCAACTACTGACTATGTTGGCCAACACCCCCCCCCAACTACTGGCTATGTTGGCCAACACCCCCCCCCAACTACTGGCTATGTTGGCCAACCCCCCCCCCCCAACTACTGGCTATGTCAGCCCTTTGCACAACCCCCCTCCCCCGACTACTGGCTATGTTGGCCAACCCCCCCCCCCCCAACTACTGGCTATGTCGGCCCTTTGCACAACCCCCTCCCCCGACTACTGGCTACTACTGGCTATGTTGTCCACCCCCCCACACTACTGGCTTGGAATTGGATTGAATTGGAATGAAAATAAATACCAAGCACACGTTTCGTTAACTAGGGATGATACTATCGTCATTTAGCTTTTATACTAGAACATGGGATATAAATTAGCTAGCCGGACAAGGCCAATAGCGGCGCACGGATAATTTAATTTCACCCGGGGAAATATTCTGGAACATACAAGGCCAGGTAGTTTACTCGTTTTGAGGGAGGAGACGCAGTTCACAGTTTTAGAAAAGTACAGCTTTATTTTAAATACTTTTAAAGTCAGTGCAATTTAATTCAAATCAAAAGAAAATCAATTAGAGGGCTGGAAATGGGTGGATGGACCAGACTAGGTGTGTCTGGGGGGGACCCACCAAATAAAGAAAACAAACTCAAAACCACCCGACGTAGTGAGGAACCCGCTTCCCAGGACACAGCAAACAAAGGGGTAGGACACCACCGCCACCACCAGTCTCCAGCAACAAAAAAGACAAAAACAAATTACAAAATTACAATAAAATAACATCCATCCAACAATACAAAGGGACACAGCCCTGGTTAAAATTAGGGATTGTAGGATTTCTCTCTGCTTTTGGAGTGGCAAAACTTCAGAGTCGTTAGCACTGCACATGAGTCTGATGCTATAACCACTCTCTCTGGCCTGACGTCCTCTACCCACTGCAGTGCAAAAACTATGGCCATCATCTCGCATTTAAACACTGATAAGTCATCACTGAGTCTTTTCCTACACTTATACTGGAATTCTGGTATTACTGCTGCCGCGGTGCTGTTCTACCAGTTTCAGAGTCCTTAGCTCCGTCTGTATATATTTCTATATAGCTATGGTAATAGCTATATAGAAATATATACCTCCTGATATATGACTTGTAGATCTTACATTTACCCCCACCCTCATCTCTCATCAGTTCAAGTAGTCCCAGGTCCACTTCAGGCTGTGGCAGTATCCAAGAAGGAACAGCTGGCGGCACCACTGCTGGAGAGTAACTCCTATCCAGTTTACCTAGTTCCCTAGGCTTCTCCCTAGCAACCCAACCAAAGCTCTTTGGTGGCGCCTTATCATGTTCCCAGCACGGCTCAATTGCACTTATTGTTGGATGGTTGATATGTCCTTGTAGATGCCCAATATGACATTATTATCTGTGTCCTCAACTCCAACCGCATTTCCCCCATTTCCACCTGCAATGCCGGCACTGATGTTGTTTTAAAGGCCCCACTACATAGTCTTAACGCTTTTACCTGTATTACATCTAATTTTCCCAACACGGTTTTAGACGCCGACCTGTAAGCCACACACCCATAGTCTATTACTGATCTGATCAGTCCCATATATATAGCTTTTAAAGCAGCCCTGTCAGCTCCCCACTCTGTTCCCACCAAGCATCTCATTACATTTAAAACCTTTTTACATTTATTAACAACTTTCTCAATATGTCCCTTCCAGGTAAGCTTCGCATCAAACCACATTCCTAAAAATTCGTACGAGTTCATCCTTTTCAGCTCCTTCCCATATAAATAGATTCTGCCCATTGTCCCAATTTTCTTTCTTGTAAAGAAAAGGGTATTTGTTTTTTCCACTGAAAATCTAAATCCCCATTCCAATGACCACTGTTCCACTCTTTTGATTGTTTCCTGCATCTGTTTCACCACATATTCCACATTCCTACCTCTTTTCCATAGTGCCCCATCATCTGCAAATAAAGATCTCCCTATATTATGTGTATTGTATGTATTTTCATATACATCATCAATCATTATTGAAAACAATAACGGACTAATCACACTTCCCTGCGGTGTTCCATTGTCCACCAAATGGCTGTCCGACACACACCTTCCCACTCTTACTTCTATAGAGTGCCCCACCAAAAATTGTTTAAGCCATCTGAACATTTTATCCAATATTCCTAATTTCTTAATTTTGATTAATAGTCCCTCTTTCCACAGTAAATCATAGTCTCGCCTCGAAGTATTACCCGTAAGGAATCAGAACATGTATCTTAAAATGTTATTTATTTTTACTTCAATGCACTAGTTTAGCTAAGTTAGTTAACATTAGTTTCTTTCCATAACAATATATTTTTTAATCAAGCTAACTTCATAACCTTCATGGATATTCATCGATTGTTCTATCTGACTCTTTTACAGCAATTTCTGACTGCAAAAGCATCCTGTGTCTGCCATCCCACTGCAAGAGTGTCCGGGTCCACGTCACTGACTGCACCATCCCACTGCAAGAGTGTCCTGGTCCACCTCACTGACCTGCTAGGCATAAAACGGTGAATGTTTCTGACTGAAAAAGCGATTCCAATGTTAAAAAGCGCATGTGTCATGGTCTAGCTAAATTAGACTTGCCTAGTTCCCATGTGTTTTTATGTTTTATATGTGCAACCTGCTGCTAGTAAAGGTTGCTCTTTCCGTTGCTATAGGTCAGTTGGAATTTTAGGCCGGTCAGAAAATAGGGGCAGTACATGGTCGGTCTCAGCTCATCACATTCTTGTTTTAATATTTGTTTTGGTTTTGTTTGGCTGATGGGATGTGGAGGTCCACTCTACATTTGCATTTCTGCACACGATCCCGGTAATCATCAAGAGAACAAGCCCCATTTAGATATGGAGAGAAGACTAAATCCCTGAAGTCAAGTGCATTACTATCGGTGTTCGTCACACAGAAAGGTAAGCGAAATGTTTGCAGCCTCATATGCAAATGAAATATTCAATACTATGATCAGATGTTAGTCCGTTTATGTTTTAATACCTGTGGTGTTCATTGTAATGTTTTGGGGGATACAAAACAGGTGACCGTGTACATGGAGTACAGGAGGTGCGCTGGGAAGTGTACTTAAGAAAGACACCCAACCCCTAACTGCTCCCACTGTGTGGGATGGGTTGTACATGTAAACCATACCGTAAAAATGTAAACCATCTAATGCAATGCAAATGCGTCAACTTTAATGACATGTAAATGTAAATGCAAGTCGCTTTGGATAAAAGTGTCACCTTGAATGACCTGTGAATAAACTTGCCTCAACTTGAGTTAAGTTTATGTGAATAATAGGTTAAATGTATTTAATTTGAACTCAATTAAAAATGAAAAAGAAATTAAAGTTAACTAAATCTAGTTGAAAATGATTAAGCCATTCACTTTCAACTGACAATACATGGCCTGAGACGGCGGTCTCAGGCCATGTATTGATTATCGGGGCTTGAACAAGATCACGATGAAGAATCGCTACCCCTTGCCCTTAATGTCCTCAGCATTTGAACTCCTACAAGGGACAACTATCTTCACCAAATTGGACCTCCGTAACGCCTACCACCTGGTCCGGGTCAAGGAGGGAGACGAGTGGAAGACGGCCTTCAACACACCTACAGGTCATTATGAATATTTAGTTATGCCATTTGTTGTCCAATGCACCAGCGGTTTTCCAGGGACTCATTAACGAGGTTCTCAGAGAAATGTTAAACCATTTTGTGTTTGTCTATTTGGATGACATTTTGATTTTCAAATCCCTTCATGAACATGTCCATCATGTCAGAGTCGTCCTCCAGCGCCTGCTTGAGAATCATCTCTTTGTAAAACCTGAAAAATGTTCCACGTCTCTGAGGTGTCCTTTTTGGGCTTCATCCTGTCCAAGGGGAGTCTTCTCACAGATCCCAAGAAGACTCAAGTTGTTCGGGATGGGCCCCAACCATCCTCTGTCCAAGAGGTGCAACGGTTCATCAGAAACTTCAGTTCTGTTGTCGGCCCTATGACCGATCTCACAAGGAAGAAGTCTGGCTCCTTTAAGTGGTCTCCAGCAGCAGAGATGTTGTGGGGGATCGTGAGCTTCTGGCTATTAAGATGGCCTTGGAGGAATGGCGCCACTGGCTAGAAGGGGCCCAGCACCCTTTTGTGGTTTGGACGGACCACAAAAATCTGGAGTACATTCAGAGGGCCAAATGTCTCAACCCTAGGCAGGCAAGGTGGGCTCTTTTTTTAATAGATTAATTGATTTGATTTTGTCCTTCCGCCCTGGTTTGAAGAACCAAAAGGCCGATGCACTCTCTAGACTGTTTCACAGACCAGGGGTTGAAAGAGTTCCAGCGTCCATCCTCCCATGCTAGAGGATTGTAGCTCCGGTCCGATGGGGAGTTGAGACATTGGTGCGCCAAGCCCAGAAGAGAGAGCCAGATCCCGGGTATGGACCCTCCAACCGGACCTAGGTTCTGCAGTGGAGGCACTCTTTGCGTCTGACCGGCCCTCCAGGAATGGGCAGGACTCTGGAGTTCATCAACAGGGGGTTCTGGTGGCCGGGAATGAACATTTTGAACTTTTGTTGCGGCCTGCTCGGTCTGCGCCATAAGTAAGAGCAGACCTGCTCCCCCTCTACGTCCAGGACAGAGCGCCTACCTATCAACGCGAGACCTTCCTCTGCGGGTGGAGTCCTGCAAGCTAGCTCAGCGGTTTGTGGGGCCCTTCAAGGTTGTGAGGAAGGTTAATCCATTAGCCTATCGCCTCTAACTCCCCCGGTCCATGCGGATCAACCCAACCTTCCATGTCTCCCGGCTACGCCCAGTTGCCACGAGCCCACTGGTCCATCCAGCTATGACCCCTCCTACCACCAGGATCATCGACGGCGGTCCAGCTTATACGGTCCAACGTCTAATGGACTGTCGCCGGGTGGGGAGGGGCCTGCAATATCTGGTGGACTGGAAGGGCTATGGTCCGGAAGAACGGTCCTGGGTTCCTTCCCGGCTTGTACTCGATCCAACCCTCATCAGGACCTTCCACCAAAGTCATCCAGATCACCCTCGAGGGAACGTCAGGAGACGTTCATAAGGAGGGGGGTCTTGTCAGGGTTTTTGGACTGCAGTACCCTGAAAGCCCATGGGGAATCCTCAGTGTTGTTGTGGTATTGTTTTCATTGTGTTCACCTGTGCCTTGTTTTCTAGCCTTTAAAAGGCCACCTGAGTTTATTTGTGTTTGCAGAGTCTTGGAACTTCCCACCTGGAGCCTAGCCACGTGAGATTCTAAATGCTCTACCTCTGTTAATCGTTTTTGGTTTTTGAGATATTTTGTTGCCTCTTTATTGGGACACCCTTAGTTACCTTGTTAAATGCCCAGACCTTGTTTTTAGTTGTCTAGAAATGTTTTTTGAGTTACTATGGAATCATCCTGCTCTTTTCAAGTAAAGAAATCTTGTTTGATTCGCCACAAACAACTCTGCCCTCTCTTTCTCTGCACCTGAGTCACAATCACTCGTAGCACAGTGGAAGGCAATCCGCCTGCTACATGGAGACCCAAGTTCGGATCCCTGACGATCCTGATACCCGCCCCCCTGGACCGTTTTTCTTGAAAACTCGACAGCCCCGATATAAAGATTGAAAGAATATTATAGGTGAGCGTCGCACAGCGGCAAAAAAAACGTAAAAGCAGTAAAAATTGAAGTTGTTTTAACTCGGCCATATATTTTGTTATCCGCTCCACATGCCCGTCGGAGAGGGAGAGAGGAAAGAGAGGGATGGAGGGGACAGAGGCCAGAGTGTGTGTGTGTGTGTGTGTGTGTGTGTGTGTGTGTGTGTGAGTAGCTTTTAGCTTGGGACTTTTCGGCCATTATCAGGATGAATCTGAAAACAGGAAGGCGGGTTTCATTAAACAAGACGAGCGGAAGACAACCACAGTTCTACTTCCTGTTGGAGGGCAAGGGAGGAAACCGCAGATTTTTTAGGAATTCAAATCAGAATCAAGACTCCGGAAGGATGAAATTAAGAGCATTCATGTGCTAGAATTTTAATGAGGCGTTTCTTCATAGCTTTCGTAAGAACAAATGCTGCAGTGAAAAGTGTGATCAGGCAGATGTTTATCACCCCAGTTCTGTCTCCACTTGGCTGTGTTTGTGGGTCAGCATGCAGCGAGAGGAAAGCAGCCCGGCATACAAAACACCCTTTTCCGTTCATCTCCCACTTCTCCGGAAAGCAATGCTTCTGATTGGGGAAAGAAACCCATGGGACGGCGTGCCGGAGGGAAGGGATCGCATGCAGCAGAGAAGAAGTATTTAACTCGGAAGACGAGCGAGAAACATTGAGCATCATCGTGTGTGATCTCATCACAATGTGTCAGCAACAGATTAAACGGTGTGAGATCAAAGGAGAGAGAGTAAATAATGAATAGTGTGATTGATAGTAAACCAGCATTCCTTGCCGTTAGGAACGTTCTATTAAACTGTCTTTTTTTAATCTACTTGATGAACATTGACCTCTGAACCCCTCCTTGTCCCTGGTCAGTGTTCTCTGCCCCGGTTAGGCTGTGGAAAAAGCGACCTGGGTTGCCCCGTTTATAACCGAGGCAATAACACATTATTAGGCCCATCAATTTTAGCTGGATGTGATCCCTCCTTCCTTCTGTGTCCCTCTGTCCTCTGCTACAGCTCCTTTACTGTGTCCTAGTTAGAGGCGGAGAGAAATGCCCGGCGAGCTTTCCGTTCCCTTCCTGCATATCCTGTCTTATCACACAGAGAGGGGAGCAAACGAGGGAGGGACGTGGACATTTTGGAAACCTCAGCATTAATTGCAGCATTATGAAATATTTTCACTATCATATCCTAACATCATAGATGGCTTTACTTTCAGGCATCCTCTATAGTTATTTGTTTTTAATGGTCACGCATGTCTACTTGTTTAATTTCTTTCTAAATGTATTTTTTCTGTGTTTCCAAGTAGTTTTTTGTGTCAGCTTTGTTTTTTTTTCTTTCTGGCTAAGTGTGTTATGCATGGTTTGTTTCATGACATGAATAAATCTCAACAACCCACCACCCCTTAAAACACACGCACACACACTGAGATCCTCTCTGGGTGATGTAACTGCGTGTAGAGGCTGTTAAATATCCAGAAGCAGAGATACACTTGAGTAAAGAGAGACATCTAGAGGAACCAGCCAAAACTGTTCACTTATTTTACTTACAAGCAGGGTGTAAAAATTGTCCGCTTCTTTCACACGTCAAATTAGACACGTGTCTTTAAATACAAAATCCACACATTTCGGTGAAGTAGGCTGAAACATGGAGCCACTCCACTTGTATACTATAAGTTGTGCATTAGAGTTCCTGTGCATCCAATCTGCAGCAAAGGGCTTCTGCCACACGATGGCACTCCGGCTCTTTCCCTGGACGTCACGCATACATCTTTTCTCAGTAGAACTGTGGAATACGAGACAATCCTTTAATATTAGAAATTAGATCTAGCGTACATTGGAGAATATTGTCTATTTCAGGAGTAATACCACACAGGCAAATACAGGTTTCAAGGGAATCTGACTGATAGTGAGAAACCAGAGGAGTTGATCTAAAATGATGAAATAAAATTGACTGGATTTGCTATAAGGATTTGAATAGACTACCAGGAAGGTTCTGGAAGCTCTCTCATTGAATCAGCGGTTGCTGTTAGATCAGCTCAATAAGAAACTGCTATCAAACGTAATAAAGAGACGTGATTGGGCTCTGCACTGGTCCAAATTGAGGCAGTATTAATGACTGAGGGAGTCTTTGGGCTGCTCTCGCTGTAATGAAGGTGTAGTTACATGTGCAGTAACTCCATTGGAATTCAGCCTTTAGCTGCTTGTCAATCAATGGACCATGGTCATACTGCCGGAGCTGTGACCGCAGATACACTTTTTAGAGGAATATGTGCCTCGGGCTGAAAAGTAATTTGGTGTGAAAGTAAAGAATTAGACCTTGGAGATGTGGCTGGCATTCAAGTTAGATGCGATTAAAGCTACAGGCATCGATTGGATCTCTGTTACAAGGTACCAGGCTGCGGGATGCTGCAGAATAGAGGGATCCCTCTGTACTCAATTTCATGATTTTTCACTGCATCACCGGGAGATGATTTCGTTTGCTTTGCACATTTGGGGAGAGGCCTGGTCAAGCAAAGGAAGAAGAAGAAGAAGAAAAAGAAGAAGAGGAAGAAAACATGATTCCATAGAATTCCACAAGGCCCAGTTGATGCAATTCGTGGTTTGGTTTAAATATAAAAGCTGCAACCTAAGTGGAACTTTTCTCATTTATCATCCGGCCAAGCACATCATCCTTGCTTAAAGGCCATCAGAGGCAAGATAAGAGGTTGGTTATACGGGAGACCTTCGTCTATCTCAGCTCTAACTTGCAATCAGTCGAGACGGGGTGAAATCAGGGTGACGTTGTGTGTCCGATATGTGTTTATCCAATTTACCAGGGTGCACATTCATTTATTCATGCGTACTCATTGAGAGTGCACCATGGAAAAGAAGGTATTCTGGTTATTAGAGGGAAAACTGTTGAAGAGGTGAGAGCCCAGTAGTCCAAGATGAAGCCACTTTCGCTTTCATGTTAGCAGCCGCCCGAGCCCGAAATGGCCAATTACCATCATTTCTCTGCTGGTGGTAATGTTAGTGAAAAAGTCAGAGAGAGAAAGATGTGGGAGAGAGAGAGAGAGAGAGAGAGAGAGAGAGAGAGAGAGAGAGAGAGAGAGAGAGAGAGAGAGAGAGTGTAATGCTGAGGGAACCAAGAGCAGATGAGGCAGAGGTAGCAGAGATAAGCCAGGAAATAAAACCACATTTTCACGCCATGGAAATCAGACCTCCACCATGACAGAAGGTGAATC